GTGTATATGTTTTTCAAACTTTTCCTTCTGTTCACCGATACTCTTCAGCTCTTTATCAATTTGCATTCTTCTCTCATCAAGCTCTTCCCATTCTTTCTCAAAATTTTCCTTTTGCTGCTTCAGATCCTCAGCCTCCTTTAGAAGCAGTTCTTCCTGAAGCCGGCTTTTTTCTATTTGCTCTTTTAATTCTGTTTGCAAACGGACATACTCAGACCTCTCTTCTTCAGTCACCCTGAGGCGATCCTTCTCTTCATGTATCCTCAAAAGCTGCTGCTCATTATCATATCTCATCTTCTCAATCTCATTTTTAAGACCCTGAAGCTCCTCCATACCAGCAAGCAGTTGTTTCTTCTGATTCTCCAGATTCTTCTCGTCAGTTTTCAGAACCTTATCCCTTTCCTTCAAACCTTTAAGTCTCAAGTCAAGATCTTTCTCTTTCTCCTGAAGTTTTTCCAATTTCTTATCCAATGCCTGCTCTCGTTTTGCAGCCTTCTCCTCCATGTGTTTTATTTCAGCTTCTTTCTTCTCCACTTCACTAACCTTGGTTTTCATGTCCTCATCCACAGATTTTCTCTTCTGATCAACTTCCAATTCAAATTCGCGCTTCTTGACATCCAAAACAGCATTGTGTTCATCAAGGAGTTTCTGGATTTCAACCTGAGCAACAGAATAAGATCAAATCTATGATTTACAACCAAACAACAGATGAAAGACCCAGAAACTATAATAACAATAATTCTCTGCAGATACCGTAACAGGTTGATACAACATTTTCATACACAGGCATGCCCAATTCTTTGCACTGATTCAGAAATTGACAAACAAATCAACAAAAAGCCAGACCATAAAATGCCCCTCTGGGGAAACTCTCATCAGAAATGAGAAAAAAATATTCTTAAAACAATAATATGTGCTAGCATAATGCAACAGGCCAGGCACATACCTTAAGCTGGTACCTAGGAAGTGCTTTGTAGGATGGATTGTGTTAGACCAATCACACAACCCAAACGGCATCATAGCAAACTAAGACAAAAAGCATAACACTAAATAAATTCATTCCAGCAATTATGCCACATTTGCCAGGTTTCTGTCACAAAACCAATTTCAAAAACTAACCTTTTCTCTGGTATTAAGCTTTTCCTCTACTGCAAGCAATTCCTTCTCTTTCATCTCTATGTTCTTTCTCATAGCATCACACTCCTGCATCCATATGAAACACATAAATGATGCAACTCTTAGATGCTTAACAAATTGCAATTGAGCACACACTTGCCTGTTCTTTTGAAGTTAGATCTTTGAGCCTGCAGCTTATATCATCTTCTTTATGCTTCAAATCTAATTTAGCTGCATCAATTTTCTTTTGTGTCTCTTCAAGGTCCTTCTCCTTGAGCTTAATGATCCTATCATTCTCATTTGCCCTCTCCTCTCTCTGGTTGATAATCCTTTGACTTTTAGCAAGCCTCTCTTCTCCCTCTTGTAATTTTCTCTCCCACTCTCGCAAGTCTTCTCTCTGCTTTGACAAAATAGTTTCGTGTGCTTCTCGTCTATTTTAAAAATTAAACTAACTTAGAAAGATATGTGGAAAATAATATTTGAACCATTAGAACAGTAGAAAGTTCTGAAAATAACCATATATTAGAAAGGAGAATAAACCAAGATCATGATCCCTGAACATACTCAGCAATAAAGGACAAACGTTCCCTCCTAAGTGCATTTTCCAGAGACTCCACCTCCTGTAACTTCCTTTCAATCTCCGAACTTTTTCTACTCACCTCAGCAAGCCTAGCATCAGCAGCATGCAACTTAGCCTCTACCTCCAAAGATTTCTCTTCAACACTAGTTACCAAAGCATTTGCTTCAGCCAACTTTGAATCAGCGGTAAACTTGATTTCTGCATTTTCAGAAAGCATGTCACGCAGAGCCTTCTCTAGCTGCAGCAAACAAAATTTCCGAAGCATTAGAAAACACCAGGAAATTTTTCTGAAATGGCATCCGTTATTTCTGTTTATGGATAATAAACAATTTCAAGCCCCTGACAATAAATAGTAATTTCAAAAGAAGTAAGTCAGGGACAGGTGAGAAACTCTTAATAGAATCCATCCAGCAAAACCAATGCCAGTCTGTCCTCAAATAAAAATGAAATTGCATTTTGTTAAGTTTGGTGTCAGTGCATGTGAATCATATCAGCAAACAAAAAAATTCACTGAAAAACCTATAGAAATTCAAATTTCAAATACATATATTCCACATACGGTAGCCTCATACAACCAAATTTATGGATTCTTAATTGATTTGTCCATTATAGTGAAAGCATATAGAAAGATTCTTACATGAGAGCAACAGATAACCAGAATAGAACAAATAGATTTCCTTTTAAGAAAAGATATCAGAAATGGGAGTGGGAATTTTACATCAAGTAGACACTGCTTCTCAACACCCAAAGCTTTCCGCAAACCTTCTTCTCGCTTCTCAACTTCAGATATTGCAATTAAATGTGCTGCTTGTTCACGTTTTAGGGCATCCTTGGCTGCCGTAAGGTCTTGCTTAAGTTCTTCGTATTTAGGAGACCACTCCTTTTTCTCAATCAAGAGAAGTCCCATATTGTATTGGTATTCAAAAAGCTGTCAAAAAGATGATTAAATTAGTCAAAACAACACAGAACTTTGTTTTGAGAAGTAAAAAAAGAAAACAACACAAAATTTAAACAGGTAAATGACCAAATTATTCAAAAAATAGGCAGATATCTTACAATACCATACATACACATATGTACTACAATACATAGCCGCAAAAGTATAACTAACCAAACTAATTATGAAGCAATTGAATCCCACAACTGGCAGAAAATTTCAGGAACACAAAGAAAATAACTCTTATAATACTATTCAAACATTAAAAAAAATGAAGGCAATGCAATAGTTAACAAGAATTAAATGGAAATATAGGGGAAAATACAAAAAAAGAGTATGAAGAGACAGAGAGACGGCTTAGCCATTCATTAATATAAGCATTCATGACTTAAAAAAAAAAAAATGCTAAAATGTACAAAGTCTTAGGTGACTTTAGAATCAGTTCACACCTCACAACTCAATTCTTACAAATAAAAATGCATGCACATATAGATTAGTCATACACTTTATTTGAAATACCATGATCTTGAAAATGACACCTGACTTCAATTTAATAGCCATAAAATCAGAAAAGTGATATATGCTAGTTGATAATATAAAAAAAAAAAAAGATAAACAAATAATAAGAAATCTTACTTGCAATCAGAACTACCCATTTCCCCTATTTCACAAAAAAAAAAAAAAGAACTACCCATTTCCTCATACTTCAGAATCGACAATTACAACCAATTTTTCATAACTTTTAATGTCAAGGAGCAATTTAAGGATAAGGCTACCATCATCACAACGCTGCCAAGAAAAGGGCTGGAGATCGGAGTATTTATGTCTTATATGAATCACATTTTACTGATTTACTGATCTGTCCCAATTCGTAGCACGATTAGTTCACAGAATCTCTAGTTAATTGAATCTACCACTCCTGGGCTTGGTAACCGTACTAGCAGATCATAGTGTCACAAGACCAGTTAGCAATCAAGATATCAAACTCAACTGTTCTTCCCTAGCCATTACAAGTTCAAATCTCGTCTTTTGAGGTCCCTACTTCTTTGAGACGCAATCCGGTCTGTTCCCCATATTTAAGCAACCTCCAAAACACTATCATGGGTGGAATACCCAATAAAAGATATACTTCTTTCCTATTTTCTAATTCCGTAGAAAGCCCTTTGTAGGAAAATAAAAGTCAAAAACCAAAAGACAAATAAGGAACACGAGCAATCAAGACAAAAAAAAAATTGGAAATGGAAATGGAAAGAGTACCAAATAGAGCTTCCAATATCACAAAAGCCAAAAGCAAGTCAAATAAATTGTAAGAACAGTCTCGACCAACCTCTTGTTCCAGCTTCGAGACCTTATACGTCAAGGCTTCCGGGTCCACAGGCCCGACTGCATTCTCGCTTACCCGACCCAAAGGTGGAGTTACCGGTTCCACAAAGACCACGCTTTTCCCTTTCCTGCAGTCCCATCTTCACTTAGATTTGGCCCGTTGGAAATCGGGGTCGAGTCCGGCCCCGAGCCTCTCTTCAGAGGCGTCAGTGACCACCCCGGCCACGCCTTTCGCTGCGGCGTAAACATCAGGAGAATTCCCAAATCTGCCACTCAGCAAAACCCCAATTCACGGATCCCAAATTCAACTTCATACATCCAAAAAAAACCCCTGATTCTCCAAGAAAACAGAACTTGAAGCAGAAAAACCGTCTTCGTTTCAAGAAATGGACCTTCCTGAATTCCGACTAGAGTTCACTGCAAATCCGATAAGTAAAATTACCAAGACGAAGAAAACGAGCCCAACCTGAAAACTCTTTCTCTCAACTCCGCTCTCTCCCTGTCTCCTGAAATTTTGAAAACCCTATGTGCCGGACTCGAATGGAGTTCCTAAATTCCGGCGTGTAAAAAATGATTTGAAATCCGATAACGTCTCGATACAGAGACGCCTTTCTATCTCTCTCTCCTTTTTGTGTGCCGTGCGCGGATCACTCACGTTCTTTCTTTTCTCATGTCCTGGGCCCGACGGGAACTCCTTATACGAAACTACATATTTGTCCTTGTGATAGAGATTTATTGAAGTACTTTGCAAGGGTAGTTTTGGATTTTCACACATGTTCCTTTTGTGTGGAGGGATTCCCCCGCGAGGACGGAATTGCCCACGGTTGGTAAAGGCTGTTTCGGAGTTGAATAGGGGTATTTGGGTAATTTCGAGATCTGTCGTTTTTGGAAATGTAGAAGAAAAGAATAAGGAATATACTTTTGCCACGGTGTGTGAGAGCTGTTAAGTTGGGATGACGCGATCTAGGCTGTGGATAGATAAGCATCTATTTTGTCCCACGTGGTTTTCATGCTTGCCACCCATCATAGTTTCTCTCTCTCTGTAGATATATATATATATATATATGTCTTAAATTTAAAAAATATATATATATAATCCAATGAAGAACATGTAATTTTGATGAATAAATACGATTAATAACTTAAATCCAAGTTTTATTTTTAAAAAAACCAAATCTACCTTATATTATTATTTTTTAAAAGAAATTATTTACATGTTGTACAAATAATTAGTCTATTAAATTATTTTTTAATAAAATATTATATATTTAATAATTAATTAAATAATATATATATATATAATATACATAATCACAATATAATTTGAATGAATTTAAAAATTTAAATAAATTCACATCGAAATAAAAAAAATTATTAAATAATATTATATATCACTTGTATATAATATTTATAATAAAAATATCTCTTTTATTTTTTTAGAATTAGTTTAGCTATTTATTAATAAAATTTAAAAATGTGTAAATATGTAGAAATGTCAAGATATTAACTTAAATAATGGGATTAAAAAAAAATAAATAGGAATAACTTTTTAAAGCGAAATATAAATTTAAATGTAAATTATATTTTTTAAGG